TTGTTCCATAACTTAGGAAAATGAATTATAAATGAATTTGAGGCGACGGAAGAACGAACCTGAGGTAAGTGTATTAAATTAATTTGGCGAGTATGGTAAGAATGAATTGAGGAATTCAAAACAAAGATATCGCTAAGGAGAGGAGGCAAGATTTTCGAATGAAATTTATACATAAACATAAGGGAATTCAAGGTTATCAGGTCCTTTAACGGTAATATATTTGATTGTGAAAATAAAGGTTTTGTATGACTATTGAAGGGAGCATTAAAGATAATTCGTATTGCTTTCTTTTGTAAAATGCATAATTTATCTAAATGGGTTTTAAAGGTGTGACCCCAGACAGTATTGCAGTAATTGAAATGAGGGAGTATAATGCTATTGTAAAGAGTCGTCAGAATAGACTGGGGCACAAAAGTCTTAATTTAGAAAGAACACCAATAGATCTTGATATTTTTGTACAAATTGAGCTAAGATGTGGTTTCCAAGAAAGATATTCATTCAAAATTACACCTAAAAACTGCATATTATCAACCTTTTCTATGACATTTCCACCAATAATGAGGTTTGAAAGATTTGACGGAACCCTCCTACCTCTCGCACGAAAAATAATATACCTAGTTTTGTCAAAATTTAAAAACAATTTATTGCAAGCATACCATTTATTTAATTTGTCTAGTTCATTGTTTGCTGACGATATAAGATTGTCAATTTTTTTATGTGATAATGAAACAGTGGTATCATCAGCAAACAAAGAGAAGTTTAGAATTGAAGAACATTTAACTATATCATTAATGTAGGCGAGAAAAAGGAGGGGCCCTAACACAGATCCCTGAGGAATTCCACAGGATACATCCATATGTTGAGATTTGACACCATCGATCACCACATATTGATTTCTATGTAACAAGTAACTGACGAACCACTGAAGTGGAACCCCTCTAATTCCATAAAATTCTAATTTTTTTAACAAGATGTGGTGATCAATGGTGTCAAATGCTTTTGACAGGTCCATAAATACACTAAGACAATAATTACCAACATCTATTTCATGTGATATAGTATTAACCAAGTTCAGTACGCCAAGATCAGTAGAAAAATTCTTTCGAAATCCAAATTGTTGGGGTATTAAAATATTGTTTAGTGCAAAAAATTTATACAGCCTGTTGTAGATTATCCTTTCTAACATTTTTGAAAAAAAAAGGTAATAGAGCAATTGGTCTGTAATTAACAATGTCATGTTTGTCACCTTTTTTATATATTGGAATTACCTTAGCGGTCTTGAGATTATCAGGGACAATGCCTTGTAACATTGATTCATTGAATATATAACAAAGAGGATCAACAATTGTATGAATGCATTCCTTAATGACACGTGCAGCAATAGAGTCCGAACCTGGTGCAGCAGATGTTTTCATGGATGAGAGAACATTGATGTTAGGAGCATACTTGTTATGTGAATGATTTCGTAACAAATAACAAGACTTTGCAGCCCATTTGATTGTTATATTAATCATTATTTTTTTAAATACTTGTTAGATACACGTATCAACAGATCTCATAGCAGCTATTTACATGTTATGAGTGTGTTAGGTGACAGAAGTCTGCAACTTATTTAATAATGTAGCATTTGCCTTTCAAAAAATACATATAAAAAGTCCACATGTTCCATTGCACCATTTTGAAATCAATAGTGTTGAAGCGTAAAAATATTTATTATTATACTGCCATGTACATATCATGAGAATACTTGTAATGTTAATATATTTTGATAGATAACGAGACTTTGCAACATAATTGATTGTTATATTATTCAGACATTCTAACAAATAAAGTTGTTGTATTATGTATCAACATGATTTATTACAAATGTATAGATTAAGCAAGTTTAATCATAAAACAACAAAAGGTCAGTATAATACAGCTGTTTACAAGTTGTGAGTATGTTAAAAGACAAAACTATGCAACTTTTTTCATTATTTCAGCATCGCTACACATTCAAAACAAAAAGTGTCATAGAAAATTAATAAAATAACAACGTTAAATCTTACATATACTGGGTATTATACAGCTTTATATACCTCACTTAAGAAATCCAGCCATCTGATTGGTCAAAATTGCATTCATAAACTTTAACTGTTCCTGTGAAATTCCCGGTAACCATAGTTAAAACAGTTTAAAATCCCAATAACCATGATTACCGGGAAAATATGTCAGTCTCCATGGTTACCCCATAGGTTTACATGTTAAAAAATGGTTGAGCGATCGAGGATACCGTATGTGTGCGAAGAATTGGTCGCTATATTTTACCAATTTTGTAATACAACTAGCAGCGAATCCGGGCTAACTCGCCCCACGGGACATTTCGCCCCAGCATCAAAGACTGGGTCGAAATGTCCCGACACGATTCATCGATCGAGAGATACCAATGTGTATATTTTTGTGCTCATTGTACATTTTAGACGATATGGCTGATATTTGTTCACATTCTTTCGTCCCGGCCGTTAATTAGCAGACTACTGGTATCTCTCGATCGATAAATTATGTCGGGATATCTCGCTGGGGCGAGATGTCCCGTGGGGCGAGTTAGCCCGACTCCCTAGTAGCTGCCAGCAAGAACGACCGACTGTACTAGTACTAGGCCAAAATGGCTGAAGAAATGCTCCCAATATTTTAACTTCTGGATGAGGATCAAATGCGAGACATGCTGACAGCAAGAACACCAAAAAGGTGAAATCTACCATAATTTGTTTTCAGTAGCCCTAGATCTAGATTCTAGTACGCGACAACCGCATGCTGGTGATTGTAGTGATTTGTACGTCACGGACAGACGCAGATCCTTCCCGTAGAGATTACACACATCCCTGTGCACTTCCATTGGCCATTGCGCATTCGATCATTAATTAGCAGAGATTCAAACTAATATTACTCGTGATCCTGAAGGTGATACTCAATAAGTGAGGTGTCATATGAAAGCGCAGGTTTTTCTCCATATTCCACACAGGGCCGGCCCACCCCCAAAATTGTAAAAATATCTTGCTTAGACTAGATTTGATCTAAAACCTAGATCTAGATCTAGTCTACTCTCAAAGAAACATTCATTAAAAACAACCGTGCAGGTAAACTAGAAAAAGGCCAAGGTGGTGTCATAGTATTTTCGGCATATAAAAGTATTAATGACTGCTTTAATATTCGAGAAATAGTTGTTTTTATACGCTCTCGGGAAGGTTACAATTGGGCTATTGCCCTCGGCACGCCTCGGGCAATAGCACAATTCTAACCTTCCCTTGAGCGAATGCCGAGGGCAATAGCCCAATTGTAACCTTCCCGAGAGCGTATAAAAACAACTATTTCTCTCAAAGCAGTCATTAATACTATAATACACATGTTTACATGTTCTGAGCATATCCATAATGCATATTATTACATAATATTTGATTCCAATTTCCCGCTGATAGGTAACGGATCATAAGTCATAATGAAGAAGAAGGCGAAAATAAAGAGTGGGATAGAAATATAATTAAAGAGGACTCTCCTGTGTGGACTGCCCTTAGCAGAACACAATGAACTATATCAACATGTAACAGAGAACAATTCATCATGTCTAAGTTTTAATCTTCTTTAATGTTGGTATAATGCACGAATTAACACATGTTATGAGCTAATGTCGTGTAAATAGTCTCTTGGCAGATCAGAAAACTCTGTATCGTATTGCATTATTAAAGTATTTTAATAAAATTCATTTATTTTCTACTAAAGCCACTATGATTTTAATTCAATTTTTGTATTTCCTCTTGCTTATTGTATTCTATTTGCGAAAACCTGGCTAGAACCTAACATGGTAATGGTTATTATACTTATGCAAATACATGTATTGGCACACTTTTCTTATACAACAAGAAATGATTACAACAATTTATTCATTAATGTGGCAATTGTATATCATGTATATCATATTATCATATCTAATCTAGTTACACGTAATAACAAACATATTTAGATTTACATATAATTATTGTAATGCTAGTGGTAATAGCCATATCATTTGTTTATGTACATGTAAATACAAAGTGCACGTGGACAATTATAATCAAACCTGATTTGAATTAAATCAATAACAGGGATATATAGATTTTCTCTCGCTGTTTGCATTATACTATTCATAGTACAAACTTCGCTTAAACCTGATAATGGTGATTGTATTTGTATGCCAATTCATGTATTGCTACAGGTTTCCTTGGAATAAAGAAAAAATAACGATCCATTTTTTCATGCTGAAATTGTTTATCCTGTATATCTATGTACATGTTATAAGACACAATTGAGATATGCATGTAATTATTCGGATGCTAGTCATGACATCATGTCATGCTATCTTAGGAACTTAACCTGTTGGAACCATGATCAAATGAGGGTTTTCTAGTCTGTAAAGATTGAAGCGAAATGAGTACATAAAGATAATATTTCGTAGATATCATGTGTCGCCCATGTGTCTATGTACATGCATGTCTATACGTAGTGAACAGGAATCGATTAAGAGGGTAAATCTGTTGTTGAATACGAGAATGCTGTCTCCATCGCTAACAATCAGTTTCCCTGATGACGTCATCAACACCCGAGATCGTAAAATGTGACCCATCCTATCACCCAGTAAGTCCAGTTATGTTGATAGAGGGAATGATGCTACTCTTCTCTTCTCCATGTCTCCCCCACTCATCACCTGATCGATCACACACGTCTTGTACTTATCATTTGATGTCACGACGTAGAGGTCGTCTGTCATAGGATCGATGCAGGCATTCAGGACGACATCACTGTGGGTGATTTTCCTTTGATCACCTTGTCTGTCGATAATGCACAATCTGTGATCCAAGGATGAGGGTTGAGCGATGATGTGACCTGATGATAGTACACCACGCATTATTATATTCTGTTTACATGTGATGGTATTCATGATCTTACCATCAGCTGGGTTAATGATGTATATCTTAGACTGAGCCCACTCACCAGCCGCCAGCGATGATCATCCCATCCTGGTCAACAGCTACATCCGCCGCTGCGCCGTCAGCCGTTGTATTTCTTGGTATTGTGACGTCATTGATGCGCTCCCATTGTCTGTCATACACACTGATGCATCCAGTCAAACTGTCCCCTGTACACCCTTTACTGTATTTACCGCATACTACCTTGTCATCATTCAGCAATGCGCAGGAGATAACCCGTGATGCATCACTACCGGTCATCACTCTATGACTGTCTTTAGTGTTCATATCTAACATGTAAGTATGTCGGCTACCATTTAAGGTATCTCTAATGATCACATTGCATTCATCTATGTATCCTACAAAGGCTGGGACTGTGATTTTATCACTGACATTGATTAAATCAATGAGCTTCCACTCCCCATCATACCCATCAATCCTCCCATCATACTTCTCTCTCCCAGCACCCTTCACAAACCTTACACCCGATATGGTATCAGTAATTTGTTTCACCTCACCCTCATTCAGTGGCTTCTTTAATTCATCACTCACTGATGTCTTTACATGATGCCCATCTTTGACGACATTTGAATCATCTTTGAGTACTGTATCAAGTGTCTGAATTGTGGTCTCTGTGGTTTTTGTGTTATCTTGCCAAGATTTCTCCAACTGTCCAATCTTTCTCTCTTTCTCTTTAGCGATGTTTTGAATGTCTGTTTGCAGAACATACTGTTTGTTGTCGATGAGTTCTCGTCTTTTCTCTGCATCTGTATGGTTTAGTTCAAGTCGCTTCTCTCTCTCCTCATCGTTCTTTTGCATCTTTTCATTGATTTGTTTAATCTCATCTTGAAGTTTTTGATTCTTCTCATTAATCTCCTGGTTGATTTTTGCAGCGTCCTCCTTCTCTGTGTCCTTGTCTGTTTGGATTGCCTCATTGATTACCGAATCAACTTCATCTTTCAAAGTTTGTAGATGGGTGTCGGTATCTTTCCTACACTGATGGATCTGATCTCCAATAACTCGACAAAGCTCCAATTTGTCCTTTGCCTTTTCTTTCAGAATATCTAGTTTTGCTCTACTATCCACGATGGCGCCCTCTATTTCCTGCCGTACGCAAGACATGTCACGATGATCTATCATTGCGCATAATTGACACACTGCTACATTATGTGTTTTACAATAAAGCTTGATTTCTTCACCATCATGCTTCTCACAATAAAGATTGGGCCTACCCTTTCCTGCCTTTCCGATGCATTCCTCTTTGGAGGCGCAGTCATCGCAGAGCTTCTTCTTCTCCTTCACGTAGTACCTCACATCTGTGATTGACTGACAGTTCTCTCCCTCACAGATGTTTTCTGCAGAGCTGAAGTTCGCCGCCATCCTGATCAGAGTATTGACGTGTATATAAACAATTATGACGAGAGAGAGAGAGAGAGAGAGAGGGGGGGGGGGTTGTTGTTGGAATTACGGGTTTGATGAATGGGGAAGGGATAGACAGAGAGGAAAGGAAGGGAGAAAGAATGAGGGGGACGTCAGGAAAAGGAAAGAATGGAAAGAGGGGATTGAAGGAGAGGGAGAAAGAAAGGGACCGAGCGAGAGGAAAAAAATATAATAGATTTATTTCAATGACCTCTATTAGTAAAATGTCCTCATGCACTTTAACAAAAAAGAATGTTAATACATAGTGTATTTCCTTCGGTGAAATTGCTTTGAAATTGAAGTACAACGGTCATAATATGTTGTTGTCATTTATTTAATAAAACACCTAAATGGTCTTGAAATTGAGGATGCGCATCTGCAAGAATAATAGATAACCCTCATACTAACAAAATGCACTGAGAGCAAATATGACATATTTAATCGATATCTTCTTTTAGTACAAGTGTTCGTAATTAACATTATACATGCATTGCCCGTACTTTGTATTCTCATATTTCTTCCTCCAGATAAGATAAACATACCCTATCCCGCATAAATACATATGTTTCTCCTTTTGTCGCATAGTTACGTATTTTTCATCCACTTCCTTGTATGAAACCGAACTTATTCACAGCAAAATGACCTACATACAACTTTAAGCTCACCTTAATACCGGTATGTTGCAACTCAAATCTTCGTAATGTGAAGTCAGAAAGAATGCTGACCATCTAGACGCTCTTTTTATGATTGAAACTGTTTGAAGAAGCACAATTCATCCAACCTCGTGTAACATATGTACCAGGTGCCTATTAAGATGGCGTCTATTTGTATACCATCACACGTCAAACTAATGCTCACTTGGCACAAATTTGCAAACAAATTCCTCCCCCTAACACATAATGTAGGAGCATTGACAAAGGATGTGCTCCGATGGTCTTTGTGAATAGATTAATATGAATATGAATCATAGCAGTCTAGCATAGGATGAATGCATTCACGTTCCTTGTTATGCATATAGAAGCGTTAAAGGGGTTCGTGGACGTGGAGTGGGGGTAGGGGGGGGGGAGAAGTATGCTTATGCCGACCTCCCTTGAAATAAATCTTTTTATTTCGCTAGGATGAATTATAAATGCAGATAACCAACCATAGTAACACAAATAGATATATAGACTTTGTATTACCATTCTATCCAACGTAGAAAGATTAAGTGATTAGATAAATATTTTCAAAACGGTAAGAAAGAACATGAAACTGTATCAACTCTAGATTACGTGTTCTTCCATGCCTTTACTGTGGAACAATAGTGGCAGATCAGTTGAAGTATACATAATATTTTTAAGTACAGTATCTCTATTTTTGGGCTTAAAATCAATCTTTCTCTTTCTTTCGCTACAGTTGTGTTCAGTTCTTTTATTGTATTTCATCTCTTGCACAAGTGTTCCGAGAGTATTTGATTTCGAAGTCATTTAGGTGTATCAATACCAATACCTTCATTCTGCTTAACGATTGAGAGTGCCTTTACATAATCATCTTCTAGCTTCAGGTTTCAGGTTCCAGGTTTTCAATAGTACTCAGCATAACGTACCAAAGCGCTTTAATATGTCATATTTGCTTGTAATCCAGGGTACTAGTTCTTAACAACAAAGCATGTGTATGAGTTTCACTGTGAAATCATTCAAGCAACGCACCGGAGCAGGGCAGTGCCTGACGCCGGCGTGATCACCACACGGTGACACCATTGTTAAGCACAACATTGATTGGACCCCCCCCCCCCACTCAGTGTTATTTAGGGTACGTATATGCATGCTCCCTCCTTTTGAAAACACCCCCCTGAGTCCGGTGTTTAAGGTACGGGCCGGATTTTTGTGTACTACGAGCCGGACTTTGGTGCGTGAAAAGTTCCCCTTTACCGGACATTTTGGAACACGCATCGTATCCCTTAGTCCAGAATCTGCACGGTCCTTTATTTTTTCCCTACACACTTGATTCAAGCCGTCGAAGATGGCGTTATAAAAAAACTCATAATTATTCTCACCAGCCCAGCTTTTCGCCGGGCGTCCTAATTTAATGATCACGCCATCATCGGCTGGTAGCAAGTAAATAAGTAGGGAGAGGTAGCGTTAGCGTGCATAGTGGAGATCAAAATTAAATAGGCCAGATTTTCGCCGGGCGTCCTAATTTAATGATCACGCCATCATCGGCTGGTAGCAAGTAAATAATTAGGGAGAGGTAGCGTTAGCGTGCATAGTGGAGATCAAAATTAAATGGGCCAGATTTTCGCCGGGCGTCCTAATTTAATGATCACGCCATCATCGGCTGGTAGCAAGTAAATAAGTAGGGAGAGGTAGCGTTAGCGTGCATAGTGGAGATCAAAATTAAATAGGCCAGATTTTCGCCGGGCGTCCTAATTTAATGATCACGCCATCATCGGCTGGTAGCAAGTAAATAAGTAGGGAGAGGTAGCGTTAGCGTGCATAGTGGAGATCAAAATTAAATAGGCCAGATTTTTGCCGGGCGTCCTAATTTAATGATCACGCCATCATCGGCTGGTAGCAATTAGTAGGGAGAGGTAGCGTTAGCGTGCATGGTAGAGATCAAAATTAAATAGGCCATATTCTGGACTACGTATCCCTCCGTTCACGGAGTGGGGGAGGGGCGATTGGAACCAGCAACCTTGACAACTTAGATATTATGACGTCATACGTTAATACTCTATGCTACATCTATGTTCATGACTGTGTAATATGAATTTTCTCCTGATAAATAACAAAACAGTGTAAATATTTAAATGGTATTGCATGTTTATTTTGTATTATATACCGCACACCAAAAATAAACAACAGAGAAAATAACAAACAAGATATAATCTTGTTGTAAATTTGAATTTATGTTGTAAATTAAATAGGAATTATGTGGTGCAAAGATGCCCCCTCCCCATTGTACTGTTTCCCGCCTTTTTTTTGGGTATCTCTATTAAACTCTTTGCATGAGTGGATTTCTTTTGTGTGATTGCTAGCATTGGTGCATGCTATAGCAGGCAGGCAGCCATTCTAAGCTATGTTATAGGACTGCAAGCATATGTACATTTGGCCTGCTGTAGGAGGAAAGGTGGTTAGACTTTGCTTAAAGTAAGTTGGATTGTTTAATAATTATGATTGTATTTCATTTAACTTATTGGAATGATGATATATACATGTACATGTACCTATAAGCCTTACTAATGAGAGTTTTGATGGTGAAAGTAAGATCAGTATAATTGAATCATGTCTTGCACTGTATTTGCATGGGAACAATGATGCTTCATTGAAATACTCTTGTCATTTATTTTTGTTATATGATATATGAAGGAATTGCAGTATAATTGTGTTAAATTGAACAAATCATCCTTACAACTTTGATGAGAATAAGATTCCTTTTATAAGTCATTGATTTTTAGTATTATAAGAAATGCCATTTGATCTTATTTCTAGGTCTGCTGTATTTCTACGAGCTGTGGATATGATACTTGGTAGCATGCATACAGTCGCTATTGTTTAGCGATTTGGCTAGTATTGGCCGGTGAGTTGAATTTACTATGTTATGTTGATTTATGATTATATATGTGAATGAATCAATACTATAATTTATTGTACCATATAGTTCATGATATTGGACGGAAGAAGAAACAATGAGTGTAATTTATTTTGTATAATAATAAATGGGTTGATTGAGATTTAGTTGCATGATATTACAAAACAATGTCAATGAATAAATATTTGTTCTGTTGGTATCAATAATATAATTGTTCCATTTTATGTAAGTTCACCACGATTTAAATATTTTTGTTCAACTTTGGTTATTGTTACAGAGGCTGTTTAACGATGAGAAACAATAAAGTACAGACTCTACTTCACTGACTCCGGATGCATTATTTTGTCGTCATGATCTCGAACCCTTTCAATCTCATGCAGCAATAATAATAATAGTGCACATTTATAATGCGCCATGTCTGTCAAAAATGAAACTCCTGGCACAGTTGTGTGGAAAGCATCACACATAAGCTTGTCATGTTATTTTATCTCTTAAGGCTTGTTTAGATGTGGTTGAATCTAAAGGGAAATCCAAACTTAATACCAAATTTTGAATTAAATCTATTTCAAACTGATGCAAAATATTGCATAAATGTAACCTTATAATATGATCTCTTTCTTTCATGAGTTATTGTAAAATCGATATGCAAAACAGCTTGTTTGAAACACATGTTAATATTTATGAATGAATATGGAGAATGTATGGTAATGAAAAGTACATAATATATTTCTGTAAGTTGAAGAAGCATTTCCATCATGAACATTCATGGAGAAGAGGAGCAATATTTGTTCCTTGCACAATCTTCAGGGGTGGTTCCAGGGGGCAAAGTAGGCACGGGAACTCTCCTTTCTTTGTTTGCCTTTTTCGTATCCTTCATATAAATCATACAGTTTTGGATGAATGAACCCCTATAAATTCAATAGAGTTTTTTCTTACATTTTTTTCTTCATATATTTTGGAGGAATTGCAGTTAATTGAACCCCTCCTGCAATTTATAAAATCTCGTAGCCGCCCCCTGATCTTGCAAACAATACTTTATTGAAAGCAATAATACATTTCTGTATAATCTGTATAGCTTCATTGAAGCATACACTGTTGTGGTGCGAGACAAAGTGTATGTTCTGGGTGATCGTGTCCAAACATGTGTATTATGAAAGTATTCTGTAGAAACATTGGAATATATCAAACATGCATAACATAATCTGAATGGTTCATTCTTATTTTCTTCTTTGTGCAAAAAAATAATTGAGACGGGAATGGGGAGCAAGAGAAAGGAAGGTTAAGGTGAGGGACACAGTGTAATTAAGAGGGGGAGGGGGAGAGGAGGTAAAGACTGAGAGAGACGGTAAGTGAGAAAGAAAGAGAGAAATAGTGAGGGATATAGACAGGGA